TGTCATAACACATAATGTATGCACACAAAGAAGCTGAATTTAAGGCTTTACAAGGAAACTCAATTCTGCCATTTTCTAGTATTACCACCTTAATGCCCAAGTTTTTCCATTTAATAGTCTTTAAATGAAGCTTTTTGGAATGTCATAAATAATACCCAGTAAAGCAACATAGTAATGATTAGTGGCCTTGTTTGTTTCTTCTACTGAAGAATACTTCCTTTACTCAGTCCAGAAAGATGAGCAGCCAGAGCAAAATATGTCACTAGCCTCCAGAGGACAGGAAATATTTTTTGCCACATAGATTTAGAAGATACATAATCTCATTTACACAAGACAATATACATACTCCTCTGATGAATATATATTCATGAGAAAATTAACACCCTGTAACATCTTAATGTTTTTATTACCCCAAAGCTAAACATTAAAGAAAAGACAAGATCTTGGATTTTTTTCCCTCTCTCTCATCTTTAAATATCTAATCCCTAGTTTATGTTCAGCAATTAAAATAGAGAAGTAAGAAACCCCCTCAATTTATGGAAGTTGGCCTTCACACTGTAGAATGAATAACATTGGTTTCCAGAATTTTTTATCACTGATAAAAGGTACAAAATTGGGACACTACTGATAGAAGGCCCAAGTGCCAAAATCCCAAGAATTAAGCAACAGGAATTTGAACTCTGAGGTTAAAGGATAGTTTTATCAGAGCTTGCAAGACTTAATTAAGGCTCCATGAGGAAAACCTGTGCACCTCCTGAGAGTAAACAGAACTGTTTCCTATGATAAAAAGAGTAGAAAATATATTGATTTTTAATCCAAGAGTAATCCATTTTGGAAAAATCTGTAATCTTTTTGGACTTTGCAAGCCTTCATATTTTTTTTCCTTGGCAACTCAATTTTCATTTTAATGAAAATTCCTTTGCAATCCAGTATGCTTTCTCCAAGAGACTAAAACACTACTCAACTCTGAAGAGTATTATTTAAATTGTGTATATTTGTTACCTTTCAATTTCCATGACAGCAGGATGACTGCTGTGTTTGGATCAGTTTTGCAAATTTCTTTTGAACTGGCAGGATAAGATCAGAGAGAGGTCAGACAATATAAGGTCCCAAACCATGGTGCAGCACAGCATGGCACAACCTGCAGTGCTGGGAAGGCCTGTGTGAAGCGGCTAGTATGCATTTCGGATTCAGATTTGGCCGATTCAAGGCACGGTGATTCAATTCGGTGATTCGAATCACTGTCCCAAATCGATCTGGCTGAATCACACAGGCCCATCCCCCGCCCGCTCTCCCAGCCTTGTCAATGACTGCCCCGCCTACCCCTGCTCTGGGCAAAAAAAAAAAAAAAAGCCCCCACTCACTGAGTGCTGCTGGGCAGGGAGGGGGGGCAGGTCCCCACTGCCCCCCACTGCATGAGCCCCCCCGACCCTCCCCCCCACTCTCCCAGCA